GGGGGGGGGGGGGGTAAATTTGACATGTGAATTTTGCATTTCCTAAGTTTTTAGTTGACAATTGTGAAATAAAGCAATGTACTTGTTGTTGTTTCTGTGATGTGTTGATCATTTGTTCTCCTTGTTCGTTTGTTCTGTGTTTGAAGGTGCATAAGTTTGGCATTTGGTCATTTCTTCCCATATTATGCAAAAATGATAACATTTGATATTATCTTAATGCTAGTTAAAGTGAATTAGAGATGATCCAAAAATAGTCATTCACTAGTCAAATTGAAAATGGTGCGCGATGTTTATAATCATGTGAAGCTATTGCCCCAGGTATTGAAGATATTCTTTGCAGGAAACTAGTTTTAATTCAATAGTAGCTAATGTTAGTTATATTTCGAATTTGAGCCTCCAACATGCGGATATAGAACAGATCTTTAGTATTACTCACAAATCGTAGTGATAATCAATAAAAAGAAACTCTCCTAATTGAGATCTTCAATTTCTGACAGTTCACTGAAGCTCTTTTGTTTTTTGATTTAAGGACGCGGCAAGGAAGAAGATCGTTTTTCAATTTCAATGTGTGATATGGAAATTGGAGAAATCCCTGGGCAGCTTACCATATGACCAGCTCGATATATCAGAAGAAGTGCAAGAGCAGGTTAGTTCTGAGCTTTTACTTTTTCTTGTTTATGTGTTTTGTCCATTGGATTTCCCCCCTAATATTTCTACTTTTCCAGGTTGAATTGATCAGAACACAATTGAAACGAGCCAAAGAGAGGTATGGTGGACCTGTGACTTCAAATTTGTTATCTCGAGCATTGTCCCAACCATTAGATAAGGAGATTGATCCGCTTCACTCGGCTAGTACGGGAGTTGGAAGTTTACATGTAGAGAATATTGGCATTATTGATCACGAAGTTAGGCCAAAACTTGGAGGTGTTCCTTTGGGCAGTGGTCCAAATGGCAATGATTGCAGTCAGATAGTTCAGGAACCAGAAAATCTAAGGAATTCAACCAAATTGTCTGAGGTTGCTTTCCCAAATATTCCCGGTTCGGCCAGCGAAGATGACTCACCCAGAAAGAATCTCGTGGAGAGTAAGAAGACAAATTCTCCTATAATTCCTGAAGAGTATCTCTGCCCTATATCCCTTGAACTCATGAGGGATCCTGTAATTGTGGCCACAGGACAGGTACCGCGCCCATGATTCTGATGCATTTGGCATTTGACTTCTTATGTGTGTTTCGTTGTCTTTTTGATGGAACAATTCTCGGAATTCTCTTTTTGGGTGGAAAATCTTCAAATGTAGTATGCTTAATGTACACTTTTCTTATTCCCACAGACTTATGAGAGATCTTTCATACAAAGATGGATAGACGGAGGCAACACAAGATGCCCAAAAACTCAGCAGATGCTCCAAGATCTTACGCTGACACCAAATATTGCTTTGCGAAGTCTCATTTCTGATTGGTGTGCAAAGAACAATATGGAGCAACCAACTGCATTAGCATATGCGAGAATAAAGAGAAGTGATGGATCATTTCGTGATGTTAGTGGGGATATAGCAGCTATTGATGCAATTGTACGCAAGCTTTCAAGCAGGTCCACCGAGGATCGGAGGGCTGCAGTAGCGGAGATACGGTCGCTATCCAAAAGAAGCACAGATAACAGAATTTTGCTTGCTGAAGCTGGTGCAATCCCCATGTTGGTTAACTTGTTGACATCTGAAGACAGTCAAATTCAAGATAATGCCGTCACTTCTATTCTTAACCTCTCTATATTTGATAGCAACAAGGGGATTATAATGCTTGCCGGTGCTGTTCCTTCTATCGTTCAAGTTCTCAGAGCTGGAAGCATGGAAGCAAAAGAGAATGCAGCAGCAACCATCTTTAGTTTGTCACTTGGAGATGAGAATAAAATAATAATAGGTGCATCGGGAGCCATACCAGCTCTGGTCGAATTGCTTCGGACTGGAAGCACTAGAGGGAAGAAAGATGCTGCAACAGCATTGTTTAACTTATGCATATATCAAGGAAACAAGGGTAGGGCGGTACGGGCAGGGATTATACCAGCATTGTTAACGATGCTGACAGATTCAAGCAATTGCATGGTTGATGAAGCTTTGACCATTCTTTCCGTTCTTGCCAGCCACCAAGAAGCCAAGGCTGCCATAGCAAAAGTGAGCACAATCCCTGTGTTGATAGATCTACTAAGGACAGGTCTACCTCGTAATAAAGAGAATGCAGCTGCTATCTTACTCTCCTTGTGCAAGAGAGATCCTGAGAATTTATCTTGCCTTCGTAGGCTCGGTGCACTTATACCTCTTTCGGAGCTTGCTAATAGTGGCACCGAGAGGGCAAAGAGGAAGGCTACTTCATTGTTGGAGCACCTTAGAAAATCTCAGCAGCCTTGACTGGTGTTCTATCAGTGAAAGATTTATTAATTGCTTCCTTCATTCTTATCTGACCGGTGAATATTACACGATTCTATTTAGAGAGTGATAAAATCTAAGAAAGGGAGCTTGAGAAAATAAGTCAATTCTCATTGCTCCGTGATTCAGTGTATCTATTTAATCTGTTTTTGAGTGAGCCACTGATTCGTTTGACCTGTATCTTTTCATTATTTGTTACTAATTGATCAATTTCTGTTTTGTCACATTATATGGTTCGACGAAAATTTATCAACTCTGTATAAAATGAGACATTTTGATATGTGGATAATTGCACTTTCTTTTCTCTTATGCTAGCCTTCTGCTTGTGATGTCTTCCATAGATTTATAAGTGAAATGAAGCTTCATTAACTTCTTCCAAAGAGTCTGTGTAATAATTATTTTTGGCTTCTGAGGATTATAAACCTTAGTTATTACTCAGATCCTTCTTCATTCCCATAGTAGTAATGACATGGTCTAGTGCTATCTGGTGGTAGGAGAAAGAATGTAACATCAAATAGGGTTTGGGAGGGTAAGATATACGCAGCCTTACCCCGTATTCTGGAAGGCAGAAAGACTTTTCGATAGATTCTTTTAATTGCGAAATGTTTTACTATCTCTTTTGAGATAATGGCCAGCAGCCTTAATTTATAACTAAAAAGAAGAGTTTTTTTTTTCTAAAAAGAAAAAACAAGATAAGAAAAAGTCTTAATGCTTTTCTGGCAACAGCCCACAGGTTTGTCTCAATCTATTCACATCCCTTGATTCATTCTGAAAGGGAATAGTGTAAGTATGACTTCTTTATTGGCATTTTGTTGAAAATATGAGGGCTATCCAATTCCTGGGAATGATTCTCCTCTCTTTGATCTCTCAATCAAGGAGCAGTGCAGCAACAAGTTGCAGTCCTTATGCATGAGGTTAAGAGGGAATCTAATTAGCATCACAGAGAACTCCCTATCCAGCCTAACCTCGTGTAACAGCCCAACTCCCTAGTGATATTTTCTGTTTTGAGCCTAGCACACAATTTTTAAGTACGTCACCAGGGTCTAATGCATATTTCTTTATGCACCAAACACTTCTGAGCGTGTTTTGTCGAGCGTGTCACCAGGGCCTAATGCGTATTTCTTTATGTACCAAACACTTCTGGGCATGTTCTATCGAGGGGTAATTTGCAGATGCGGATCCACCCTTTAGGGTGGGGTGGTACGGCACCCGCTAGATTGGTAAAATTATCATATATTTATGTAGAAATTTTCTTAAACTAGGTTAAATATTTGATCTTGCCACCCTCAATCGCAAACTAGACAAAGGTGCCTTGGCTGGCAGACCTTTGTGAAAGTGTTTCTAGTATACAAAATTCAAGTTCGAATTTATCTTGAACCTTGTCTAACTTTCCTTTTTTGTTGTGCTTTTTATTTCCTTTGTTCCAGTCATTTTTATTTTTGGCTATCTCCCAATTTCCTATTTGTCGTTCATTATTATTTTTTATATGTTTTCCTCTATTCTATTATTTTATCTCTGATCTTTAGCAAAGACACTCAAAAAAGAGCCTCCTATATTTAAAATACCGTAAAATAACAATTTCTCTTAATTCAAATCTTTTGCTTTTTTTTTTTTTGCAAAATCAAAAAACTTGGGTTTTGATAGAAATTTTGGATTGAGATCAAATTTAATTTTTTTATTATAACATAAAAATTTGTGTTATTCTATGATTGTTAAATACAATTTAACTGTCTTTACTATTAAATTATGATGAATATTTCACAAGTATTGCTTAGAAAAATATGAGGTTTTTTATTTTAATTTTTGGGATCATGTAGTTTATCTAATTCTGCATTTACTTATGGTGTATAATTTATCTATTGAAGATATTTTTTTTATTTTTCTTATTCTGATTGGTGGAATTCCCTTATTAAAGATGTTATTTTACTTGTGCAAATTTACTTTTAGCATACAAAAAAAGATGCAGTTCCTAGTAAAAAAATATTGATTTTACTTGTATTGTTAATAATAAATGTGTGATTCCTTCTTTAAAATGTTAATTATATTTGCTTCTTGATGTATGAGATGTAATTTTTGTACAACAACAATAACATACCCAGTGAAATCTCACAAGTATATTATGGGAAAGAGATGTAATTTTATAATTTTAAATAAAAAATGTCTATTAATTGCCTGAATAAACTAAAAAATAAATAAACGTTCCGAACAAACTCTATATTAGTTATTTTAAGGTGTACATTCCTTCAAATCCTATATACGACTACGGTGATTTATCTAGAATGTTATAGAAACCCGTGTTTGATCCAATCTGCATGACCAACTTTTACTATGCTAAAGTAGGAAAATGTGTGGAAAATTGAAAAGAAATCAAAGATGCTTTGGCTTCCCTGCCTGCATTAGAAAATGCCATTTTTCACTGTTGCAAAGATAGATACATTTGCTTTACTTTTTCTTTAAGCTGGATGAACTGGTGCTTTCTTTAGTATAAGATGTGATTCTGAAATAATAGGTTTAAAATATTGGGTTGCCACATTGTTCATACCTGATCAATTTCAAGGCACATAAATTACTTCGATTCTTTAAAAAAAGGGAAGAAATTCACAGAAATATGAGAAAACTCACTATTTGTTTTTCTTTTGTTGGATGAGTAACTTACCAAGTAAAGTTAGATTTCCTCTTTCCAAATTCTTGGATTTCAGATAAACTTTTAGCTAACTCCTTCACTAACTTAATCTAATTAGTTAGGTGTTCACACCTTTAATTAGTTATTTATATTTGGTATTCAAAGTAGGCTGATTAAGATCAACATTATGGTGTGTTTTTTTCTTTATGAACCTATATTTTATTGACTTATTGTTGTCAATTTTGATACTGAGGAGCAATAAGTCATAAGGTTGTACCCCCATATTCTTTTTTCCTTGAAAAATAACGAGCCCCGACCTTTTTAATAAATAAACATCTAACAGTTGAATTATTTTTTAACCCCTTCTAACTTGATTAATTCTGTACCACTTTAATAATTCATTTTCAACTTTCTTCTCGGTAAATTATTTTCCTTGGTGCAAAATATTGACCGCAAATTTATTATTCACGCTGCATTTGTTTCAAAATAATACTCCAACACGAAAGCTAATACCTTGCACGTAAATGAAAAAACACGCAATGCTTCATTATTAGTATCAAAACAAAAATAAACGAAATTGGCTGGCTAAGCTTTTCTTTGTCGAAGCTTTTTTGTTTAGTATTATTGGCAAGAAAAAGCTAGCTTTTTAATCTTCAGCTTGCACGAAAATGTCCACGTTCACCATTCGTTACTCTACTTAGAAATAACAAAATATTGATCTTAAACGTACTAATAATCTACTAGCATTGGTAGTTGCAAGAGCGCAATGCGTGACGTATGAGTTAGGTGCACAATGCATGTTCGAATCGTGTTAAAAGATAAAAATTGAGCATTTGAGTGGAAAAGAATAAAAGGTTTGAGTCTATAATCCGCCGAGTCTCAAATCATGTGCCACTGCCTCTCCGAGACGTTCCAAACAATTTGGGGGACAATTTTACGTGCATTTAATTTAGGAAAAATTTCAGAAACTTCCCTCAGGTTTGGCTTTGTAACACTGACCTCCTCTTACGTTTGCAATATTACGTGTACCTCCCTATTCTAACTTCTTTGTAACAACTATTTTATTATATTTATGACTAATAGAAAAATAACATATCTGGACTGATTTGCCCTCCCTAAGATTATGCTCTTTTGATTTATTAATATTTTATCAATATCTTCTTTAAGTAAAATCCTACAAAAACGTGAAGGGAGGTCCCTAATAATTAGTAGTAAAATAGCTTTGGTAGAATATTTCAGTACTTTTCATAGGAACCAGTTATACAAATCAGAAAGTCCATGTTGATATAATTCTTTTGCTCATTTCTAACGCAAAAATACTTTAGTCAAAAAAGTAAAATAACATGATAATGACTGAACGGAATCTCTCACCAATTCACGGATCCACACCGTGATTTACGCAAGTAATTTTGATTATCAATCCTAATTAACAAAAGATATTACCTCTTAGCAATACGTACCCCGTAATCCACGAGTTTATGTATGACATCAAGAATACATATTCTTAATCACAAGATCTTACTTTGATTTTAAAAAAAAAAAAACTTAATTCAATACATTATTATATGTTCACTAGGTTTGTTGTTGTTGTAATACATTAACATTATCATATGTTTTAGTTTTCAATATTAGCTTACTTCATTATCGTCTCTGACCCTCCATCCTCTCTTTTATTTGAGTTGTCAATATCTTTTGCTGCTTAGCTGTGGCGTCAGTAATATCACATGTTCTTTACAAAAGAATGTGATCCACATAAATAAAAGTTTGTACATATATCATGCGTTGAAAGTAAGTTTTCCTTTAACATGTAACACGACATTAATAAAGAAAGAGAAATTAAAATGACAAATTTATCATCTCCACTTAATATTCTCAATCTATCAACGCTTAATTGATGCAAATTACATTTTGCAAACAATTCTATATATTATTTAAACAATAGTTTTAAGGATCTTCCATCTATTTCCTCATTTTGTTACTTCCTACAAATCTAAATATGGAGTAGTTGTTTTAAGCAAACTGACCAAAAAATCATTTATTACTTCTTTTTTTCAAATTTATCTTACTGTTCCGATTATGGAGTATTAATTAAATGAAAAGATTGAAGAAGAGATGAAGGGTAGTTTAAATAAATACTCTTATAATTAAAGATGTTAAATATATGTGTACAAAAATGTTTACATTGTAACGGACCAGAATACTGAAAGTCAATTTTATTTCAATTTCTTTGTCTCTTTATTATATGAAGAAAAGGTTTAGAGGAGAAGTGAGGGGAGTAAATTCCGCTCTCACATTACAAGACACGCTATAAAAGTAATTGTGGATTAAAAAAAATAAAGAAAATAGGGAATTTGAGAGAAGTGCATGCACGATTCTTTTCTTGAATGGCTAAGAAAGTTGCTACTTAGAATTGCTTTAACAAAAGGAGAACATGAAATGGAATTATCACATGTTCAGGACTAAGTTATAATTGCCTTGCAAGGCTCCAACACTAAGTAATTTTAAACTTTCCACACACCCTAATTAAAAAGGAAATGGAGAAGGAAATAGATTGTTGCTTGAAAAAGTAGAACTACCTTTTTAGATTGCATAAAAAGGGATCCAAACACCGTCCCTTTTTTCCTTTTTTTTCATCCTTATCCTTCCGTTCATGCGAGGTTCTTCGCATTTGGATAGTATCAGGACCCTAGCTGTCAAAACGGCCCAGCCCGATCCGGCCCAATCCAAGTCTCGTAGACTTTTAAATTTGGTGGGGTAGCACAGGACGGGCCACATATGAATGAGCCTTAAAATGACCAGCCCAGCCCAACCCTAAGAGGGCAGCAGCCTAGGGCGGGCCGGCCGTTCAATTTTTTTTAGAAAAAAGAATTTATTTAAATCCTTGAACATTGATAATGCAATGACTGATAACAGAAATATCAAAAGAAACTTTATTAATTTTCTGGATGAAGCCTGTAAATGTACAGATGGTTAAAATCAAATGTACACTTTGCCAGATTTCTCAACACACAAGATGACAGTTCCCTATTTGTAAACCTTTTACAAGGGGCCAATTGCTACCCCTAGTATTACAAAAGAATATAATGGGCCAATTGGAATAGATCAAACACCCTTCCTGCAATTCTTTGCAAATACCATTTCATTTTTGCTAATTGGCAAAAAGTTCTTGTAATGAATACAATGAATTTAAGATGTTCAAGATGACCACTGATCAGGTACCCTTAGGAAATAGCTTGTCATCGCCTTTCTGAATCTTTTCTTGTATTGTTTCGGAGAAACAATAGTTGGTGATGCATTCTTCGGCCCACCAAGTATCCCAGATGCCTTAACCCATGTCTCCAAGTGTTTGTCCCAAGTATATTGCCGCATGAAATCAATGATCCCTACGACTAGCTCCTTGCGCTCTTCGTCCACACCAACTAGCAAAGAGTAATCCATCACATCAACCGACTGCCAACAAGAGCAACTTTATTAGTCATCGCTCAAACTAGATACGTAAAAAAAAAAAAAAAAAAAAAAAGAGAAAAGAGTAAAAGTAAAATAAATTTGGTGACTGAACTCCATGGAGCAGGTTTCAAGTACAAAGCATTTTACTTCAGCACTAATAAACAATTACAAACCAGCTAAAGGAACATGTTAAAATCAAATTTAGCGCCTTCCAGTCCAACAAAAGTTTGTCGTATCGTAGTGTGACAACCTAAACAGAAGAGCTCTATTAGCGAAACTTCCTACGAACCATACAACACTGTCAAACTACAATATTGCTATTATTTACAGCTCATCATCTTTTAGTAGTAAATCATACGTCTCCAGATACAAAGAGTGTGATTCAGATGAATTTTGTACTGCATATTGCTGTGCAAATCAAATATCCTTGGTCAAAACAGAAACATGTGGGTTCTCGGGTATTATTCATGGCAACGGATAGATGGAAAATCAATACATTACTAGATATGCCATGTCAGCCGTGTAATGAGCAAAATCCTAATAGTCAGCCTTCTTAATTTAACTTTGCACAGTTCAAGTTTGCTAATAAATCTAATACTTTCAAGCCTTTAAGTCCAGCTATTACTCCTTCCCTACAGTTTAAAGCTCAATTCAGTAGGGTGGCTAATTTCTACTGGATTTCCTAAATTTGACTCGTAAGATATTTGCTCCTTGCTACCCTTTTCTCTTACAGCAAAACCATATGTGTATATACACGGACTCGTATTTGCACATTCATTAACAGGAAATATAACTAAATTATAAGCAAACTGGACATTCTAAGTTCTATTTTCAAATTACTTAGAGACAAATAATAGCAGTACTCCTTGATAAAGTGCTTACCAAACAAAAGAGAATAGTGTAACCTCCATTATCACTTTTTTTTTTTTAAAAAGAAAGAAAAATACTATGCTTTCTAGGAGTCTTTTAGCCCTATTAGAGATTCTTATGCAAATAGAAATATAGAGAAAATTTTGTATAATGTTCGCCTGGATGATTAAATGTAGAAACATGGTCGGCGAGGATTCATATAACCGACCTAACTTGTTTGGGACAAAGGCGCAATAGTAGTAGTAGTAATTGTTATATATAAAAGAAATTTTGAGAAACAAAGTTGGACGCTAAGCAGCTTACCGCCAAAAAGGATGTATCATTCCAAACAGCTCTCTCCAGGTTTCTTTTTGCTTTGCTTCCAAGAAATATAGGTTTGGTACGCAATGTTTCTAAAAGATTCATGTCCAATAACACTTTGTTTGCACCAGTTTTGTCGGCATTGTAACGGGATCGTAGAGAACCCTTAAGATCATAGACCTTGGATATTGTTCTTCCAAAAAAGAGATTCTCCATCACAATCAGATCCATTTTTGTTTCCCTGCCTCCTTTCATTTGTTTAACTGAAACCTAGCATATACAACATAAATTAAAATAGGAATTCTGCAACAAGTTGAACATTTTCAAAAAAGAAGTAGTATATCTATTCACCACCAAACCAAGCTGCATATCATGAACAAAGAGACAACAGAGAGATAAAAAAGGGAGTCCAACCTGATATATTCCCAGAACTTTAGCAAGGGAAGTTGGACTCCTTGAANTTGGACTTCTTGAGCTAACAGAATCCGTTAGATATTTGAAGTAGTCGGGTCCAAATTCTTCAAAAGATTCTAACTCAGTTTTCTGGACTTGTTTAATTATGAATCTTTCATCCAATGACTTAGCGAAATAAACATTGCTCTTTCCACCTTGAGCAGTCCATCTCTTGCAACGGCTTATAGACCGTATAAAGTCCAGTTCATCAGGACAGTAGTTCTTCCTCAGCGCATCAAACTGCTTAGCAAAGTAACAAGTGACAGAAAACTTCACCTTTCCCCCGGCATTTGAAGATTCGTCCTCAAAAGAGATCCTCAGGTGAGGGGAAGTCTTGGAATCTGCAAAGAGGGAACTAATTGTACCGGAAGCATCTTCTGAACCATAGCTTCCATAATGGATATAATCCATGTCTAAAGAGCCAAAAGACTTCCAAACATTAGAAGCCGCTCCATTCTCCTTCTTGATGTCGCTCGTGTTCCAACCCCTTTCAGGCACATTTGGCTTATCGGTGACTCGGTCTTTATACTCTTTGGAACTAAGAGCATAAGATATTATGCTAGTAGGTTCATTGTCATAAACAGCTAGTACTATGTCATTGTATCCAACCACTAACCTGGCTCCATCATGTACAAGAGATGCATAAGAAATAAACGAGGGTGATGGACTCATTAGGAGATTAACCTTCTGAGCCTCACTGGGTGATATTTGAGAATAAGTTCTCTGAACATAGGAAACAGGGTCTCTGATCATATTCCTATAGTCTCCAGAAGCATGAAAAGATCTAATTGCTGTTAAATGCATCGAAGAAGGCGGCAATCCCTTCTTGATTCTGTCTTGAAGTCTCAGTGCAGAGTCGAAGGAGTTAACTCTTGCCGGTGATTTTAGCCTTGCAAAAGGAGGATAATCAAGTTGCCTGAAAGGAGCAGCTTCAGATCCATTCCGTTGTAATATCATATTTATCTGAGCTTTTTTGGGAGATCGATCAGTACCAGTCCAAGCAGAATCTATCTTATCAGAAAGAACAGAAGCCGCTGAAGGAGCTCGTTCCAGGGATGTTTTATTAACTGCATTCTCTCCTTCCATCCGCATGTCCTGTGTTTTCTCGAACTCACATGAGGTAAACATGGAGCCTTCCACCAGTCCATAAGGTGACTCATGAGTCTCCTCATGTTCAGGATATTCCTCTAAGTTTGAGAAGTCAATTTCGGTCTCTTCATAGACATGCTCAAGAGGGTCATTCTTCAGAAACATGTCATTTCTCCAATCCATCAGCTCACTACAAGATCCAGAATCCTCTGAACCCACTGAACCAGAGCTCTCTTGAAGGAGGGATTCCACAGATAAAAGCCGACGATCCCAAACATGTGAAGCAATCACGAGGGAATGCCTCAAGCGATTAAGTTCAAGAATGTCAGCCGCTGCCTGCCCTCGTTCTGAAGTTTCTGTATCAGCAGTTTGAAGCAAGTCCTGTTGTAAAAACAAACAGAAGCAACCGAGATAAGGAAGAAGACCGCATTTATCTTACAGGCTTGAACACATAATTTGCAATGAAAAGGAAAATGCAGAAGTATTAGACATTAAACTCCCGTTGGTACTTACATGGTAATCACTCTTTTCTTTCATAAGTAAGTCTTTTAACTCCATGATGCAGTCATGCAGTTCAATTTTATCAGATGGTTCATGTTCTAAAGAGGAACTTTTCTCTTCAATCCTACGAAAAGCACTGGATATCTCTGCATACAAGGCTTTGGCTTTGCACAGTAGCTACAGGAAACATAAGATAGTATTATACATAGCTATTTAAAAGCTAACACAAAAAAATAAAAATAAAAAAGAACCAGAAAAATTCCAAACACGCAGCATCATTGCAAGATAATGGAAAATGTTTTTGGAACTTATAGCACCTCAGCTGTTTCTTTCCGTAACCACTCCTGCTCTGTGTAGCTACTGAAATCAAGAGTTGATGGAGGTAAACGAACTGACAGAATATCAATAGGAGAATAGCGGAAGAATGCAATCGTACTACCACACCTGCAATGGCAAATGGAAAACTTTATTCTCTAAATAGCAGCACTGAAAATCAATAATTGAATGATCGGAGTGATTGCACATTACTGGCAGAAGACAAACTACGCACCCGTAAAACCGGAGGCAGTCTCTTTGGAGAGAATGACCACAGCTAGCAACACGGTTGGCAGTTGCATTGTTTGAAAAACTAAGTTCCAAAAACTTACCAAATGAGAGTCCCCAAGCAGCATCTGACATTACTACTCTAGGAGTTGCTGGTGGGATACCCTCTATTTGTGCACACTTGAGACATCGATGCCACATCCATATCTTTTTGTCGCATTCACCAGGCAGCTTCACTGAGGGTAGCCGTCTAACATTTATAGTAAGGTTCCCTTGTTGGTGCGTATAACAAATGACGTGATCCTCAGCTGGCTCCTTGCATGATTGACAGGAAGATACCTGGAATATGAAGTGCAATACATAAATAGCTTGAAAGAACTAAAAATTGGACATAAGAAGATGACCCCTAACAACTTTTACCTGACCAAAAAGATCATCCTGAAGATATCGCCCGAGTGGCTTGTCAAAAGAGCCATAGAACTTTATGCGAAGAAGACGAGATCGTTCACATACACTTCCATTTAGAACACATCGACTAGAAAATGATACTAATATGCTTTGATGACTGTCAGCAGCTGAATAGAATTCATTAGAGGGTTCAATTTCATCTGATCTCTCAAGCTTCGACAGCTCTGGTAATTCTCTTGGTTGACTCTCCACTTGACCTAATTTTACTTGTGATCTTTCACCGGTTTGATTTTTTGTTTCAACAGATTCAACAGGTCTTATATCATGTAAATTGTCAAGGCATGCAGTAGCGAGAACATCTCTGTCTCTGGAATCATTTAGGGTGTGTGGATCATTATAAGGAGGGTAATGATGCTCCAATGATGACGCTGGTAACCCAACATCGGCATTGCAGGTGGCAGATCCTACATTATCAGCAGTATGAGAAATCACTGAAATAGCATTATCAGCAGATATCATCTCTGGTATGGCAATTGAGGGTGTTACAGACAATTTAGGTAAACTAGCACCCTCATCAGCAAGGAACGATGTCTCAAGGGACAGATGATATGCCGCAAAGACTGCATACTGGAAGACTTTCTTCACCTTCTTGAGCTCTTCACAACACAAACCCCTCAGCAAGACCTACAAAACGTCAAATGAAAGGATAGTTAACATCTGTTTACAACTTCAACTTCTTGATATTTCAATTAAGGTATAACTGCTGATCCTTTATGACAATACATTACATTCTGGAGATCTTTTTTTTCTCCTTTGTTTAATCCTTTCTTTCTACACTGAAAAAACTCTTTTTGGGCAGAAAAGACCATGATCAGCATCAATTCACTGAGTAGAGAACAGGATGAAAGTTCACTAAGCATTTTCAAAGTCAATACAGCATATTAAGAGTGATACCAGATGATTAGCTTCAGCCTATCAAAGCACAAGCAACTTACAAAGTTTTACTAAAGTGATATTTTACTACTGCAGATGGTGTACATTATAATTGATCGCTTCTATTTCACCAATTTCTTGTAAAAAATCCACTACTTGGAGTTGAGAATGTACAAGTGACAAAAGAAATCATCAGACACAGCCTAACATAAGTATTATATGAAGAAAAATGACTAATAGTATTAAAGTTAAAAGGGAGAGTTGATATTATAAAGTATAGGTAATTTTCGAGGAGGTATGACGCAGGTCTGTTTTGTACAGAAGTATTCATAGACCAAACAGGATGATGAGAAGCAGAGCAGATGATTTTGCTCAAGTGAGTCATCTATCTACGGTTTTCTTTGGCTTATTTTGTCTTCTCTATCCCTCTTTTCTCATTGCTCCTATGGAAAAAGCTTGCCTTTCTTTCGAGTAAAACTTACTTTCCATGATATAGCGGGGACCATATGTCAAGGTTTTCGTGAATATTAAGACCACTGATCTTTTCAGTTACGTCCTTTTTTTAAGATGCCCGAAATGACACCAAGCAAATAAGTATTTCTCTGATGATTGTTGTGACAGCTCGCTCTTAGGAACAAGAAATTGCAGAATTGGCATTATGACGTCCAGGGCCTAAAAGGTTTGTCTTTGAAATCAAATCACTGTTGAATTTCAAGGACAACTATAACAATTACTATATAATGTGAATTCGAAAGTTGTCGAAAGAAGGCATGTCATGCTCAGAGACTGGTGTAAAGAACTTCCAAATGTATTACATGACAAGCAGGTGAAATTAGAAACTTAGCCATTCAAGGAAACAGAAGAGCGGGTGAGGGTATTCTGCATAAATAGTAGACACAGGTAATAAATAGAGAACACTAAAAAGCCGAGCCATAGAATGTCACAATTCTAGCATAAGGTACTTTTTAAATCCAATGTACTTATGAGATATGGATGATATAAGTCTTAATTAGAGCTCAAACATTTAAAAGTTTCAGCAAAGAAGAACCAATGTTGGAGTCTGAGTCAGAAAAATTACCGTGCAACCTAAACGCCTAGGACAACCATCAAAAAACATCAAAGTTTTTGACGG